CTGCAGTGTTTTCAGGTGCTCAAGGTGCAGGCAGCAGTGTTTTCAGGTGCTCATGGTGCGGGCAGCAGTGTTTTCAGGTGCTCAAGGTGTGGGCAGCAGTGTTTTCAGGTGCTCAAGGCGCGGTCAGCTGTGTTTTCAGGTGCTCAAGGTGTGGGCAGCAGTGTTTTCAGGTGTTCAAGGTGCGGGCAGCAGTGTTTTGAGGTGCTCAAGGTGCGGGCAGCAAAGTTTTCAGGTTGTTGAGGTGCGGGCAGCAGTGTTTTCAGGTGCTCAATGTGCTGGCAGCATTAATTTTAGGTGCTCAAGGTGCAGGCAGCTGTGTTTTCAGGTGTTCAAGATGCGGCCAGCAGTGCTTTCACGTGCTCAAGGTGCGGGCAGCAGTGTTTTCAGGTTGTCAAGGTGCGGCCAGCAGTGTTTTCAGGTGCTCAAGGTACGGGCAGCAGTGTTTTCAGGTGCTCAGGGTGCGGCAGCAGTGTTTTCAGGTGCTCAAGGTGCGGGCAGCAGTGTTCTAAGGTGCTCAAGGTGTCGTCAGCAGTGTTTTCAGGTGCTCAATGTGCGGGCAGAAGTGTTTTCAGATCCTCAAGGTGCGGTCAGCAGTGTTTTCAGGTGCTCAAGGTGCGGGCAGCAGTGTTTTCAGGTGCTTAATGTACGGGCAGCAGTGTTTTCAGGTGCTCAAGGTGCGGGCAGCAGTGTTTCCAGGTGCACAAGGGTCGGGCAGCAGTGTTTTTTGGGTGCTCGAGGTGCAGGCAGCAGTTCTTAAGGTGCTCAATATGCGGGCAGCAGTGTTTTCAGGTGCTCAAGGTGCGGGCAGCAGTGCTTCAGGTGCTTAAAGTGTGGGCAGCAGTGTTTTCAGGTGCTCAAGGTGCGGGCAGCAGTGTTTCCAGGTGCACAAGGGTCGGGCAGCAGTGTTTTTTGGGTGCTCGAGGTGCAGGCAGCAGTTCTTAAGGTGCTCAATATGCTGGCAGCAGTGTTTTCAGGTGCTCAAGATGCGGGCAGCAGTGTTTTCATGTGCTCATTGTGTCGGCAGCGGTGTTCTCAGGTGTGCAAGGTGCGGGCTGCAGTGTTTTCAGGTGCTCAAGGTGCGGCCAGCAGTGATTTCAGGTTGTCAGGGTGCGGGCAGCAGTGTTTTCAGGCGCTCAAGGTGCGGGCAGCTGTGTTTTCAGGTGCTCATGGTGCAGGCAGCAGTGTTTTCAGGTTGACAAGGTGCGGGGAGCAGTGTTTTCAGGTGCTCAAGGTGCAGGCAGCAGTATTTTCAGGTGCTCAAGGTACACGCAGCAGTGTTTCCATGTGCTCAAGGTACGGGCAGCAGTGTTTTAAGGTGCTCAAGATGCGGCAGCAGTGTTTTGAGGTGCTCAAGGTGCGGGCAGCAGTGTTTTCAGGTGCTCAGGGTGCGGGCAGCAGTGTTTTCAGGTTGTCAAGGTGCGGCCAGCAGTGTTGTTAGGTGCTCGAGGTGCGGGCAGCAGTGTTTTCAGGTGCTCAAGGTGCGGGCACCAGAATTTTCAGGTGCTGAAGGTGCAGGCAGCAGTGTTTTCAGATGCTGAAGGTGCGGTCAGCAGTGGTTTCAGGTGCTCAATGTGCGGGCAGCAGTGTTTTCAGGTGCTCAGGGTGCGAGCAGCAGTTTTTTCAGGTGCTCAAGGTGCGGGCAGCGGTGTTTTCAGGTGCTCAAGGTGCGGGCAGCTGTGATTTCAGGTGCTCATGGTGCGGGCAGCAGTATTTTCAGGTGCTCAAGGTGCGTGCAGCGGTCTTTTCAGGTGCTCAAGGTGCGGGCAGCAGTGTTTCGAGGTGCTCAAGGTGCGGGCAGCAATGTTTTCAGGTGCTCAAGGTGCGGGCAGCAGTGTTTTCAGGTGCTCAAGGTTTGGGCAGCAGTGTTTTCAGGTGTTCAAGGTTTGGGCAGCAGAGTATTCAGGTGCTCAAGGTACTGGCAGCAGTGTTTTCAGGTGCTCAAGGTGCGGGCAGCAGTGTTTTCAGGTGATCAAGGTGCGGGGAGCAGTGTTTTCAGGTGCTCAAGGTGCGTTCAGCAGTGTTTTCAGGTGCTCAAGGTGCGGGCAGCAGTGTTTTTAGGTTGTCAAGGTGCGGGCAGCAGTGTTTTCAGGTGCTCAAGGTGCGGGCAGCAGTGTTTTCAGATGCTCAAGGTGCGGTCAGCAGTGTTTTCAGGTGCTCAATGTGGGTGCCGCAGTGTTTTCAGGTGCTCAGGGTGCAGGCAGCCGTGTTTTCAGGTGCTCAACCTTTGGGCAGCAGTGTTTTCAGGTGCTCAAGGTACTGGCAGCAGTGTTTTCAGGTGCTCAAGGTGCGGGCAGCAGTGTTTTCAGGTGCTCAAGGTGCGGGCAGCAGTGTTTTCAGGTGCTCAAGGTGCGGGCAGCAGTGTTTTCAGGTGCTCAAGGTGTTGTCAGCAGTGTTTTCAGGTGCTCAAGGTGCGGGCAGCTGTGTTTTTAGGTGCTCAAGGTGCGGGCAGCAGTGTTTTCAGGTGCTCAAGGTGCGGGCAGCAGTGTTTTCAGGTTGTCAAGGTGCGGGCAGCAGTGTTTTCAGGTGCTCAAGGTGCGGGCAGCAGTGTTTTCAGGTGCTCAAGGTACGGGCAGCAGTATTTTCAGGTGCTCAAGGTGTGGGCAGCAGTGTTTCCAGGTGCTCAAGGTGCGGGCAGCAGTGTGTTTCAGGTGCTCAAGGTGCGGGCAGCAGTTTTTCAGGTGCTCAAGGTGCGGGCAGCAGTGTTTTCAGGTGCTCAAGGTGCGGGCAGCAGTGCTTTCAGGTGCTTACGGTGTGGGCAGCAGTGTTTTCATTTGCTCAAGGTGCTGGCAGCAGTGTTTTCAGGTGCTCAAAGTGCCGGCAGCAGTGTTTTTCAGGTGCTCAAGGTGCTGGCAGCAGTGTTTTCAGGTGCTCAAGGTGCGTGCAGCAGTGTTTTCAGGTGCTCAAGGTGTGGGCAGCGGTCTTTTCAGGTGCTCCAGAGTCTTGTGCAGCAGTGTTTTTAAGGTGCTCAAGGTGCGGGCAGCAGTGTTTTCAGGTGCTCAAGTTGCGGTGGTGAATGTCCTGGGCATGCCCCACCATTGGATTTAGGGTACCCTGATTGCTCAGTGTCATGTTCACAAAAAAAACTTTTCATCAGCCTCCTAATGAGAAAATTTACGCTGATTCGTCAGTGTTGCCTACCCAAAGTTTGCTTTTCCATCAGGGCCGTGTATGGAAGAAACGCTGATTTGGCAAACAAGCAGAGAAAGAGTAAAGTCCGCACCTCGGGTCTGACCTGAGGTTGACCTGCGACCGCGAGAGAATTTCCTATCAATTTTTGTGCCACTCGTTTGCCGCTATATGCGTCAGCTAGACGTGAGTGTGCAGTCAAATATGCTCAGCCTCATGAAGACCCGATGCAATCTTTTCCACATCGGGTGTTCCCGTCTGACACTAGTGTCAGACACGAGCTCCAGAATTTGAGCTGCATTCGAACCCTCCCATGTCACTGCAAAGTGCAGACCAACTCTCGTTCAAATGCAGCTTAAAAAAATGCCCCCCGTAATGCAGTGTTTTTTTTTAAGGGCATGGAGCAGTGTAGGTTTGTTTGCTGGATACGTACTCCTTAATTGCAAGGGTACTAATGACAATGCATGGCCTTGAACGTCAGGCCTGTCCTAGTTGTTTAGGAATGATTTTCCCGGTACCCCCTTTTAGCCTCTTTGCAAGAGTAGGGTATAAGGAGGGTTGTGGGTTGGGGAGGGAGGGGGGGTGTGGGAGGATTTTTTATGGCAGTAAGGGATGGGTTCGAATAGTGTTCAACAAGGCTCGACATAAATCGTCGGATGGGTTGCGCATTTTCTTGCATATATTGAAATGTGTTTTTTCCTGGAACCATTTAATTAGGAATGTACAATTCTTCAATTTAAGTGATCGGGAAAACGGATGAATGATAAAATTGGTAACAAGAAGAACTTTACTGTATATATAAAAGTAATGTTTTGAATTGCAGTTGGGGATGACTATTAATGGTGAAGAATGGGTCAGTACAGCATACGTGGATGAATAGGCCAGTTAGCAGTAGATTAGCTTGGGTAATTAGGACGGCACCGGTGTGGACCGAGGGGTGGGTCAGTGCGTCGGCGTTGTTGCTGACCCTTCATTTGTAGGTGACTCTGTAGTGGAAATTTGACTCGAGGTAGTCAAGCCAGCGAATCTGTCGGGGATTCGGTGTCGGTTGGGCGCGGATGAACTGTATCAACTTGTGGTGTGTTTGGACTGTTACGTCAGCGCCCGTCAAATAGCCGTGCCAAACTTTGAAAGCGTGAACGATGGCGAGTAACTCCTTGTCGTGGATAGGAAAATTTCGCTCGGCCGTGTTTAGCTTTCGTGACTCATAGGCGATCGGTTGTTGGCCTTCGCCGAAGTCTTGTAACAGGAATGCGCCGACGGCCAGATCGCTAGCGTCGGTGATGAGCTCGAATGGACGGTGAGGATCTGCAATCCAAAGAACCAGCAGTATAGTCAGGAAAAGTTTGAGCTTTACGAACGCAGCCTGCTGCTCTCCCCCCTACTGAAAAACCGTACCCTTCTTCAGGAGATCCCCGAGAGCAAAAGTTAGCCCTGCCATGAAATGGCAGACATGATTAACAAACCATAGAAAACTCTGAAGTTCGCGGAGATTAGCCAGTGGCTTCAGGTATTGGATTGTCGCGATTTTCTTGAGGTCGATTTGAACACCGTCGATGGAAATCACGTGACCCAAAAACTCCTGTTCATGTCTTAGAAACTCGCACTTAGAGACCTTGGTGATTAGTTGGTTCTGCTGCAGGAGAGAGAAAGCTGCTTCCAAATCCTTTAAATGGTGCTCCCGGGTAGTGCTCTAGACGAGAAGGTCGTCGAGGTACACGATGACGCACTTATCCAGCAATGGCCGAAAAATCTCGTTCATTGTCGACTGGAATGTCGAAGTCATGTTTGTTAAGCCGAAAGGCATGACCGTGATCTCGTAACTCCCGTACCGGGTCCGAAAAGCCGTCTTGTAGCAGTCAGATTCGTGCACGCAAAGTTGGTGATAACCGCCTCACTGTTGGTCCCGCGAAATTGGTCGATGAGGTTGTCTGCACGTGGAATGGGGTAGCGAGACTTGATGGTACCCCAATTCAAGGTGCGGTAGTCGATACACATGCGCAGACCGCCATCCTTCTTCAGTGTGTGCTGCAAATGGTGATGTGCTGGGGCGGACGAAACCTTTCGCGAGCAGGTAGTCCAGCTGGCGTCGAAGTTCATCTAACTCGAGCTGAGTCAGCCGCCATTGGGTCTGAACAGTAGGCTGCGAGCCGGGTTCGAGCTCTATTTTGTGGTCATGCACCCGCTGAGGTGGCAAACCCGCCAATAGGTCGTCGGGAAAAATGTCACCGTGCTTCCGAATCAATGTTGCCAAATCATCCGGTATAGCTGCGCAGAGTTTGTCGATGTCAGTCCGCGTGTCGACAGTCGTTGATGCGATCCATCGGACTGTTATAATCACAATAGGCTTAGATGAGCCTATAATGAGAGATAGAGAGCACAGTCAGATTTCCATCAGACGGCTTCAAATATTGATAACGATCTGTTCGCTGAATTACACTGTGATCTGTAAGTTGGATCTGGAGCGCGTTGCTGTTGTCTATTAGCAGCAAGTTGAATCATGAAATTCCATAAGATTTGACGACGCTATGGCGGTTTGAATGGCAGGAGGTATAGCAGCCACTATAGTCTTGAAAGTACAAACTTAGAAAGAAGAGTTCGAGAGGGAGATGGTTCCCAGCCTCTACATACCCCAAGAGCCGAGGTCCAGGTTGGTGGTACACCACCACAGAGTCCCCAACCATGAAGAGTCTCGAAACCAACCCTCCAAGGGGCTACACCAAGTGAAATGTAACACTACACGAAGTAACGTTACTATTTTCACTATTTAATATTTATCCGCGTCCCTTGGGCTTGAAATCTTGAGCTCTTGTTCTTGGATCTGCAAGATAAATTCTTCTTGAGTTGATGGGGGGTTGCTGCACACACCTGCAACACGATGGACACTTCACACTCGACAAAATAGAAAAAACACATGTGACACACAAACGACGACTTGACATGCGAGTTGTAAAAACTCGCTAATGTCTTGACCGACACAAACCACATTGTGATACACCATTCAAACACACACACAAGCACTGGATAGCAATGACATAGACTCACAATTCATTCCATCACATGCATGCACACACACAAACAAGGACGACAAGTCGAGTGCAAGCCATAGGGTTGCACCAACAAACTCCCCCTCGGATTGTTGGCCTTAGAATATGCTCCCCTTATTTCAGAGCCATCCCAGCAAGCTTGCAACACTTCCAATGCTGCTGCTCAACCAGCCTCTTGGTCATCATATCAGCAGGCTGCGCCGTCGTCTTCACGTAGTGCAACTCCACTTCACCCGCGGTTACCATGCTCCTCACCCAATGCCACTTCACCTTCATGTGCTTGGTAAGGCCATGAAGAACTGGGTTCTTAGCCAATGCAATAGCACCCTGGCTATCACAATAGAGTGGGGTAGGTCCTTGCTGCTCCTCCCCCAATTCAGCTAGCAAACGCCGCTGCCACACAACCTCTCTTATGGCACGAAAGAGTGCCATGTACTTGGACTCCACCGAGCTCAATGCTTGGTCCACTTGTTTCTTGCTCTCCCAAGCTGTTGGCCCTCCACCAACACAGCAGATGAAGCCTCCCACACTTGTCATGTCCTCTGGTTCTGATGCCCAAGATGCATCAGAGAAGGCGGTGAGAAAGAGCCTCCCGGGTTCGACTCCATCCGCACCCTTTTGACGCCTTTGTGCCGCCGCGGAGTATTGCAGTCCAACAGTTGCTGTTTGGCCAAGGTACTTGGCCACCCTCTCTCCAGCTGCTACCTGCTCCTCATTAGGGCATTGGACAACCCTAGCCAGCTGCCCGGTAGCAAAGGCTGCATCCGGCCTTGTGTGAACGGCCGCATACATGAGGCTGCCCACCAAGGAGTGAAACCGCCGCCTCTCCTCTTCACCAACACTTTCCTCCGCTGGTCCTTTCACACACTTGAACCCTGAGGGAAGAGGAGTAGCCATATGACCTTCACTCTTCCCAAAGTTTGAAGCCAAGGCCTCCAAGTACTTCTTTTGATGCACTCGCATCCACCGCTTCTCCACATCTCGCTCAATGTGAAGCCCAAGGTAGTAGTTGACGTCACCAAGGGTCTTGCACTTGAACTTGTCTTGAAGCTTCAGCATCACCTCCTTCACAAGGTCAGAGGAGGGTGAGAATATGAGGATGTCATCCACATAAACCACCATGAAGCTCCTCTGCTCCCCCTCGCCAAGCATGAACAAGGATTGATCGGCCGTTGAGGGAGTGAAGCCGATCGCCTCCAAGACTTCCCGCAGCTTGATGTACCATTGCCTAGGGGCTTGCTTGAGGCCATAGAGTGCTTTCTTCAGCTTCCACACTCTGCCACTCCCATCATTGTACCCCTCTGGCTGCTCCATGTAGGTCTCTTCCTCCAAAATGCCGTTGAGGAAGGCCGTTACAATGTCCATTTGCTTCACCACCCATCCTTTGATGGCCGCCGCGGCGAAAAGAGTTCGAAGGGTTGTACCCTTCACCACAGGAGCATATACTTCATTGTAGTCCTTCTTCTCCTACTGCTGGTACCCCTTGGCTACAAGTCTGCTCTTGTAGCGGTCAATGTTGCCGTCGGCGTCGGTCTTGCGCTTGAAGAGCCACTTGGATGAAATCGCCTTCCGCCCCGGAGGTAGGTTCACCAAGTCAAACGTGTCGTTCTCGATGATGCTCCCCATTTCTTCATCTGAGGCCTTCTTCCACTCCTTCCCATTGGGGCCCTCCCAAGCCTCCTTGGGATTTGTAGGCTCCCCCGGGATCTCCACCGGAGAGAAGAAGGCAAAAGCGCACTCCTCGCTTTCATCTTCCGCATCATCGCCTAGCATGAGAGCCGAACCGGTCAAGGTTGAGTTGGCTGGTCCTCCAAGCCGTTCATAGCTCAACCTATTGGGGGGCTGAGTCCTCCTTCTCCCCCTTCCTTCCTCCTCTGCTGCAGGGACTTGAATGCTCTCATGGCTTTGCGGTAAGTCCGGTCGGTTCCCGCGAGCACTTGTAGCACGAGGCGGAAGAGGCGGTGCACGCTCATTACCTTGCTGCACCTCCTCCTCCTCCTCATCCCCATTCATTTGGGGAGATTGCCTCGTGATTGTGCTGCTGCTACTCAGCTCCAAGGGCAGCTCCACATGCTCCAAGCCGGTCCTCTTCACCTCTCCAAGCCGCACACCAATCTTCGCTTGGTTCTCCGCCTTCCACTCCTTGTACGGTAAGTTCTCCATGAACTTGCAATCTCTGCTCACCAGGAACTTCTTGGTAAATGGGTCCCATAGAAGCCATCCCTTGCTGTTTTGGGCCATGCCCAGGTGCACGGCCCATGTTGCCTTTGCATCAAGCTTGTTGTGCCGAAGTTTCTTAGGCACAAGTGCCATGCACATGCACCCGAACACCCGAAGCATATCCACCTTCGGCTTCCTTCCAATCCACTCCACATAGGGCACCAATTTGTCTTCTCCCACATGAGTCAAGGCTCTGTTCTTGGCCACACAAGCATGCCGCACCGCATCCGGCCAAAAGTAATTGGGTAGACCGGCTTCAATGAGAAGTCCCCGAGCCGTCTCCATGAGTGTCCGATTCGCACGCTCGGCGATGCCGTTCATTGCAGGAGAGTAGGGCATGGTAAGAGAGTGCCTTATGCCCTGTATCTTTAGCCAAGTTGAGAAATCCTTGCTCAGGAACTCTCCCCCACGGTCAGTGCGAATCGCCTTCACAAGTCGGTCTTGTTGCCGCTCCACCATCGGCAACCAATCGGTCTTCACCATTTCAGCTACGTCACTCTTCTTGGGCAGCACATGCACCCAAGTCATGCGAGTGTAGACGTCCACAATGGTGAGGAAGTACTCTGCTCCAGCAGCTCCAAGCTTCAAGGGGCCCACCACATCCATCACCACCTCATCAAGTGGTGCCTTCGCCGTTGTCTCCGAGCTATGGAACGGGTAGCGGGTGAACTTGGCTTGCATGCATGTTGGACAGCCAAGCACCTCATTGGGCTCCCCCTTGACACGTATTCCACTGACCATCTCTTGCTTAGCAATCTGCTGCAAAATGGGCAATGCCACATGCCCCATTTGCCGATGCAAGGTCAGCCAATCACACTCTCCCGTAGCGGAAGTCGGGTTGGAGAAAGCGGCACTCGCAATTGTGCCCCACAAGCTCTCTCCTTTCTCCTTCGCCGCTGCTGCTTTGTTGATCTTAGCCTTCTCCTCCTCATTTCCACCACCTTTGGCTGCTGCACCATTCTCCTTGGGTTCACACGCCTTGCTGGTCTCTCCAAGGTTGCACTCCTTCGAGTCACTCTTGGTGTCACTTTGCTTTCCGTGATCACCGCCACCAACCGCTTCACGCTTGGTGTTGACGCTTGCTGCCACTTGCCTCTCTTTAGGCTTCAGGACCACTGGGATTTGCCACATCTCATCGTAGATGTCCTTGTCCTCATGAAGGTCCCAAAGCTTCCGCTCACCAAGCCTTGCGGTATAGGTTTTTGATCCCTTGGAAGATGTGTCCATGCCGGCATTTTGCAAACGCCGAACGGAAATCAGGTTGGCTGCTAGGTTGGGCACCAAAAGCACGTTCTTGAGGCCCACCATCTTCCCATCAGCACCCTTGAACATGGCCTTGCCCATGCCTTTCACCTCTGCTCGCTGCCCCAAAGCCGATGTAACATGCTTGACCGGCGACGGTTCGAGTTCGGTGAGCAAGTCCGCACGAGGTGTCATGCTGTAGGTGGCGCCGCTAACGATGACCCAAAAGTCCAGAGAGTGAAGGGTGACCTTTCCCACAGTAGCTGGCTCCTCAAAGCCTTCCACACCTCCTGCTGCAGCTGCCGCTTGCATGGAGACAAAGAAGAATTGGCCCGGGTATCGATCTTCACTCGAGTCCTTGTCGTAGTCTCCACCTTTCATGCTTGCCGCTTCGATTGCACGACCACCACGGCCTCCACAACCTCTACCTCTTCCTCCCCTTGCTCCTCTGCCCTCTTGGCCTTGAGAAGGGGTCCATCCATCAGGCAATCTGAAGCAATCTCTCCACATGTGGCCGGTCTTGTGGCAAAAGTGGCATTCGCCATCAAATCGACCGCGCCCACACCCGTAGCCATTGTTGTTGTTGTTGCTGCCATATCCTCCATTACCACGGCCTCCATTGAAGTTACTGCTGCCAAATCTTCCTCCTCGCCCTCTGCCCCTTCCACGGCCGTGCCCACGGCCCATGCTTGCAACTCCG